AGGAAGAAAAGTAGGCCTTTTATTACATAGAAAATAGTTGAGGTCTAACCCCAGACCTAAAGTGGCCTTTCTGGCTGGGCCTCAGGAAGAAGAGTCACATTCAGAATCTTCTCTTATCATCTGAAATGATTCGAGAGTGACAGCGTACACCTCCATGCCAGGAAGGCCATAATCTCCTAGGCAGAGGCTTAGCTTGTCGCTACAGCTTCTTAGAAACCTAAGAATGCCTGGGGAACCAGGCACACCTCACTGACAAAGCAAGTGATTACCCTTTTTATAGGAGAAAATGATACCAAAGGCACCATTTCTCTGGAATGATTGCTCCTGCCAGTCATTGTAGGCTACAGCCGGCCTCACCTGAGCATCATTTATTTCACTCATGCTCCTAGTTTCCATTTTGCTGAGGGGAAAGTAAGTATAGATACCATGGCAACTAGCTGGAAAATGACTCATGTCTATAATGCTTGTATTTTTTTGGTCCTCAAGGCATATTTGGATGTAAGGGCTACTTTATTTATACAGACAGACTGTGGGGTAATAGAAGGGGCACCGGCCTTGTAGTGAGAAGGATCCTTGCTTTGAGGATTAGGAGGCACCTCACCTAGGTCAAGTTGCGTCATAGTTCTAATCCCTCACTTTCTAATCTGTAAAATGGGGATTTTTTTTTATCTAACCTATCTCACAGGGTTGTTGTGAGGAAAGTGTTCAGTAAATAAGGAAGGAGCTATATAAATGTAATGTATTATAATTTTCATACTTGGGTATATTCCCTTATATTTATCTTATACATTTTATTAAATGGGAGGCTCAGAATTTTGCAACATTTTGACTAACCAAATGGTTTGATTCTATCCAAATAGAGGCTATAGTTTGAGTTGTCCTATCAAAGAAAGAGATTCTAACAGATTCCATTAATAGCAGAAGAGTCTCCCTGTTGTGTTTCACTAACCATTTGACACATAGGTCCATTTCATATTCCACAGCTCATCATTTTCCCAGTACCTTTGAACTGCCTACAAAGGAAACTGAGAAAAATTCAGGTAGAGCAAAGATATAACAATCAGCTCTAAGATGGTTAAAAAGGACTCTGTTATTCATACATTATATAGCATTAATTAGATTCACACTCATATACATATTATATACACATATTTGAAGCCATCAGGCATATAAGGAACTATAAAATTATCAAAGCAAGCAAAAATAAAAACAGAACAACAAAAAGGATAATAAAGGAATACATGTTTGTAAGATTGCTATCCTTACAATGCAAAAAAAAAAAAGACTGATAAAACTCAGACTCCTTGCACATAACTGGTTTGGACTATATCTATCTATCTATCTATCTATCTATCTAGATAGATAGATAGATATAGATATAGATATTCCTGAGAAGGATCATCATAACATTCAGAATGTATAATGAAAGCAGTCTCTAAGACTGCTGACTTTTTTTTTTATCAGCTTAAAGCAAAGGATTTTGAATAATGTCCTATGAGGAAGTAACGGAGTATGGGCATGGGGGAGAGGAGGGAGGAAAGACAGCACTCTTCAAGGTCACCTTAATTGAAGTATTCAAATTTAGGAAGAATTGGAGTAACATGGGATAAATGTTTCCTCAACTGAGGAGTTCACAAACCTGAGTCAAGTTTATAAGAAATAAGAAGTTAAAGGAAATGGGAAAATTTCACAGAGCTTTTTCTCAGAAAATCATAAAAAAACATCAAATGCCAAACTAGTCTAAGTCATCAAAGTGTATAGAAACTGAGTATGAAGAAAGGAAGAGGGGTCGGGGGAGCTAATGAGAGGACAGGACACTGGGGAATGTAAAGCAAAAGCAAAGAGGAAAGAGGAAAGAGAGTGAGAGCTCAGGGAGATTTTCAGTGTGGTTTTCTTTCATATACCTGTCCCTAGTTAGAAATGAGACCCTAACGAGGAGTTAGATGTTTGGTTGTGAAAGCCGGAATGTAGCAGTAGGGACAAAATAACAATAATAAATGCCTAATAAACTTTGGCAAAACGGTTTGAATAGGTATAAACGTCTATGGTGAAAGCCACATAGAAATTTACACACACACACACAAACCCCCCCACACACACACATACTTCCAACTACCTAATGTTCCCACTGCCCCACACAAGAGTAGACAATGGAGAGTTATCTCCTTGCAGAACATGCAAGGTAGATTCAGTAGTATGGAATGGGAGAAATTTCTTGCCCAATATAAGTGATTTACACAAGTTGTTTCTCTACTGTATAAATCAGTTATGATAACAACTGAATTTCACAATCCTCATTTTATACAGCTTCCATTTAACTGTCACTTTCATCTTCCTTAAACACCAGTTTGACATGCCACTTCTCTGCCCCTGCATTCAACAAACTCCGATGGTTTCCTCTTACCTCCAGGATCAAATTTCAAATCTCCTGTTTAGCGTTTACCACCCATCCCACCCCCATAACCTGGCCCCTTCCTACTTTCCAGTCTCTTTTCACCCTTCTTTCCCTTTCTCCTCCTTCCCCCCCTCCCCAGACTCTGTAATCCAGTGGCAACAGCCTCTTTGCTTGTTCATTGAACACTGGAAATTCCATCTCCCAACTCAGGCCATTTTCCCTTGTTGTTCCACATGCCTGGAACTATCTTGCTCCTCACTCTTCCCCTAAACTTCTCTTACTCCCTTCTAGTCTCAGCTAAAATATCACCTTTTCCTGATCTCCCTTAATGTTAATGCCTTCCCACAATTTATTATCTCCAAATTCTCTCTCATACAACTTATACATAGTCATTTGCATATTGTCTCACCTATTGGACAGCAAATGTTTTGAGAGCAGAGACTGCAGTTCACATGTCTTTGATAGCCCAATGCATAAGAAATTGCCTGACACAGAGAAGGCTGCTTAATAAATGCTTGTTACCTGGCTGACTAATAGTAATAAGCAAGGTATTTCCAGCACCTGGTGCAATGCCTGACACATAGTATGTAACTGATAAATGCTTACTGGCTGACTGATTATAGCATTTAGTATCTCTATCAATCATCTAGCAGATATCACATACAGCTTTGGATTGTTGATAATCTTTCTATGTATTTGTCTTGTTTTTGTAGCTAGAGTACTCTGTCCCTGAAGGAAGGGAATATGTATTTCTTTGCCTCTTTTACAATGCTGGAGTATGGAGCTTGTGTTCAAGAAAAAAATGTTGCATTGAAATAATTTACATAACCTTCTTCCTTCAAATGCTGCACTTGTTTCACTTCTCTAGAGCACTGATGGACAAGTAAAGGCTCCAGGTTTTGCTGACTGAGACAGTGGAAAGGATTGCTTTAAAGCAAAAACAAAACAGAACAACACATCCTACTATTTTGACACTGCCTGTCCTGGGAATTTGTGTTCTCCAGAGAATGGCTATGGAAATATTGGGTCACAAAGTCTCCCACACTGCCTCGATAGAATTCTCTTGTGATTAAGTCTAGCTTCAGTTTCAGAGAGAAATAATCTTCCAACCAATACTTTGCTTTATCTATTTTCTCTTTAACTTCCATAACCTTCTTTGTTGTAAAACGGCTGTCGCTCTAGCTATTGTCAGGTAATGACTCCTTCTAGTCTACCTTTTTTTTTTTAAAGTAACAAAAAGAGAAGCTATTTCACTCACACTTGCATTTTCATCTATATTGAGACAAATGCATAAAAGAAAAGAGAATATTAATTGATATTTGGATGAGGGAACCCTATGCAATTTTAATTACAGGATTGCAAGCTGGTGGTTAATTTAATTTTTGCTTCGATTTACAAGGAAGCACTTGGTTAATGGAGGTTTGCTCTAGCATTTAAGAAATGCTTTATTGAGAGGATCTCATCTTTGTGATTTACTGTCTGAGTGCAAGCTTAGTTTCTTTCATTACAGAATAAATGATTATGTGCCCTTGAAGCTGAATTCATTGCAGGGATGGCCAGTTGGGGGATGCCACCTACTATCTCATAGACCACTCTTTCTGAAGGAAAGCAACAAAATGAAGGAAGGGAAGCCCTGCTTTGCTTGCTTGTCATAAACCTCTTTCCCTGTGTATTCAATACACACATGTGCATGGCTGATTAATGCTTCAATCCTTGCTGACATTATGATAAGCCTTAAAGCCAACCCACCCCTGCAAGAGGACGTTGCCTTTTTTTAAAAAGATGAAGACAAGGCAAAGAGGTAAAAACAAAAAAATAAAAAATAAACAGATGGGGAAAATAAAAAAAAACAAACCTTAAAAAGTGAAGTCTAGAAAATGTAGTAAACAAACAGGACAACAGGAGGAAAAGAATACCCAGGGAAGAATCCTTGAATAACCTTGTTTAGAAAATTGTATAAAATAAGCCAATCTATGTAATCCCATTATGAACTGTTAGCTTATGGGCTTTATTCACAGAGAAACTGTGTAATGAGATTAAACCACACAAGAAAACATGCTTGGCTGCTGCCTGTTGGTTGAACAAAACAAAGAAAGCAATAAATGGACAATTACAATTTTGTGCTTCCCCTTGCTAGAAATGAAACAATTAGGAAGGAAGATGTTGTGATGGTGTGGATGCCAAACGCTGGCCTCCCCCTACTGCATATCTTTGCAGAGAATGCTTCTTATTGCCTCGTTCACCTTATAATGCTGTTTTATTATGAAAACCCAAACCAAAAAAAACCCTTAGTTTTAAAGGAACACTGCATCACTCTGATTATACAACTAAATCTCAAGATCACTCTCTGGATACTGAAGAATACACATTACCAAGAGGTGCTACCATACTCTTGATACTGCTTCTTCCCAATCACACCCATCCTTTCCCAAAACTGTCTTTATTTTGCTCAAAACCAATATTTCATGTCCAAATAGAAGAATATGGGATGTAGAAATTCAAGTGAATTAAGGAACCATGTTAATTTGATGAAAGAGATGTTTGGTGAAAATGTAATTCTCTAAAGCTAATCTTTTTGTCTCTTAACTCTACCTGCAACTTTCAGGCTGTACATAAATCGTCCTTGGATCCTCATTCTGGCATGAAAATAATCCAGAGTAGTCAAAAACTATGCCAGTGGAACAGAAGTATTGGCAGGCCCTGTCAAACTGGAAGGGCTTCAATTATAGGCTTGGCAATGGACTGCATAACTGTAATTGGAGGGTCAGCCTAGAAGAGTTCAGATAGACTCAACATCAGTTCAGTTGCAGGACGATGACTTTGGGGGTCATAGCAACTCACGAAGACTGATTGCCAAGTTGTAAGCAGGCCGTGAGATGTCCAAGGAAGATATGCACCTTTCTCCTCTTTGCTTGGATCTTTACAGTAAGTACTCTAGATCTATAACATGGGTCTATCAGCAAGGATACCAACTGTGTGGGAAAGAGAAGGTATCTTTGACAGCTATTCTCTTTTTTTGCATTCTCAGCACTTTTCAAAATGCTTTCTCCATAGTAAGTGCTAAGCAAATGCTTTTGCATCCATCTATCCATCCATCTCTCCATTCTGAGGACAGTTTGCATTAATTAAAATTCATGGTATAGTGGTTAAGATCCTAAGCAAGAGTAACTCAAAGAGAAAACCAGCCTCTCACCTTTGGAAAGAGACAACTTTATCAAAGGAGATTATAGTTGCTGCCTTATAAGAAAGTATCTTCCTAGCTCTGGTATCCATCTGAGATAAATGACAATTCCCCTCAGTTTCATTGCATTCATGGTGTTCATAGGAAATAGGTACGGGAACTCCTGGGTTCAGATTTTTTTTAAAAGTCTGAAGTAAATATATATGTGTGTGTGTGTGTGTGTGTGTGTGTGTGTGTGTATGTGTATGTATATATGTGTATATATATACACATATACATATATATATGTATATCTATGTATACATAGTTATAGTTATATTCATAGTCACAGTCATAGTTATATAGAGTTATTTCTAATTTTGAAATCCTTGTCTCATAGTCCTCTTTCATAGCATTGGGGGAACTCAATCAATTCAACAAACATGTACTAAGCAACTATTATATATAAGATGCTAGGGACTGTTATACATAAGATACAGGGACACAAAAATAGACAGGATATATTATATGACTCAAGTCAGGAAGTATGTACAGTAGGAAGATCATTGAATTTAAAGTCAAAGAACCTCGGTATGAATCCTTGCTCTGCCAAATTCTATCTGTGTGAACATAATCATATAGCTTAATCTCTCTGGGCCTCACCATCTTCATCCTCAAAATGGAGGGGCAGGGAGAAGAAGTGAACCAGACAAACTCTAGGCTCCCTTCTAGATCTAAAGCGAAATCATTCAATAGATACAATTTCTCCCTGGTAAAAATCGATCCTCCTTCCCATTCACTGAATTGATATGTCAATGGCCAAGTCCTGTATTAAATGTGTTTGGGAATAGGGAAGGATGGAAAAGAGTCTATGTGGAGGGAGTCGGTAGATATATATCTGAGTCCCCCTGGCATCATGATGATAATAAAATTATAACCTCTGTCCTCTGGTAGCCTTATAAATCAGACTTCTAGTTCCCTTTCCAAACTCTTAAACACATCAATGATGCATTTCCCCCCAGTTTATATCAGCTAAGTAGCTCACGGTATGACTCAACAATATCCATTTCCACTAGACAAGCCTTTTAGAGGAAAATTGATTCATTTAGTTTATAGTATTTCCTATGTTTAGCCCCCAGCAGTGTCTAAGCATAGTTAACTAAAGCTAAAGGAAAAGAAGGATTTTTGTTTGTTTGTTTTGTTTTTAGCAGACAACCAAAAGGCTTGTGAGAAATTAACCTCAGAAGTAAACAGCCATGACCTCTAATTCTCATCTACAAAGAAATGTCCTAGATTTCTGAAATTTTATTTTTAAAATGCATGCCACCTATTTCTCAGGTCTTCCTTCCATTCTATACCTAGTCAACTGCATGCAAAGGAAAAGTATGGAAAATAGAATGAGAAAAAATAGTTCCAGGGAAGCTCTCTGCCAAGAAAGAAAATGCATTTTGCTTTGGGGATTTAAAAGAAGCAACTGGCCTTCAGTAAATAAGCAAAGGCCTATGTAAATTTCAGAAGTACTCAGGACTACAGAGTAGAGAATTTCCAGTGTATTTGTTTTCAATATTACCAGCAACTGTGCCTCATGCGTCTTATCCTGAATTGTCCCAAGGACACATAATGCTGCTATTTATTTTCTTTCCAAAACAGCTCCTTAGGACAGAGAAAAAATTTCCAAGAAGTGCTAAAAAAAATCTTAAGGGTCAAGTTTCATTTAAGATGCCCTGGACCTTGAGAATTTCTCAAGAATTTTCAAATGACTTGGCACAATATACCAAAAAAAAGTCCATCCATGCCACCAAAGACACCCATGACCTGCATGAACTTGGGCAAATCACAACCTCCCTGAGCCTCTATTTCTTCACATGTGAAAAGGAAAGAAAATTGTATGTCTCCCCCAAGGTCTCTTACAGCTCTAAATTCATGATCTTAGGATCAACACTTGCCTAAAAAGTGAATCCCCCTATTAACATAGCTATTCTCTTTTTTTCTCAAACTAATGGATGTTCAAGTAGATGCTGCCTAGAAATCTAAGTCAATAATTTCATTCTCAAATTATAAATCCTGGGCATTTTAAAACCCAGCAAATATCAACTAGTAGTTCTCATATCTCTGAAGTTCTTTAATGAATATCAGTTATTCGTTAAGGCAATGATAAGAACTGTAATATGTTAAACAGTAATTACAGTCTTCAAAGATGTCTCAATTAGATCCACAAAAACAAAGCCAGAACTTGGCAACCATTTAAATGTGGTATGCCAAGGTGCTAACTTCTTCCCTTCTGGTACCCTAAGTGGGGTTTTTTTTAAGCATGTACTGACCACTGGGGTAGTTATCCTCATACAGAGGAAAGAGTAGTAGGTTTGGAGTCAGAGGACATAGGTAAAAATGCAGGTTTGCTATGTATTAATTGTGTGGTAAGTGCCTGATGCATAGTAAGTATTTAATAAATACTTGTCAAATTATTAATTGACTGACCTTGGCCAAGGCATTTTCTTTTTTGGGTCTTAGTTTCTTCATCTTTAACATAAAGGGGTTTGGACTATGCTCCCTTCAAGGATCAATGTACTGTGATCAAATAAGGAAGAATGAATAAGGCTCTTATTAAGAAGTGACCATCTGAGATGTAGAATGAGATATACCTATTCAGATGTAGCCAATATGGTAAGCTGTTTTATTTGAAAATAGTTACTTTTTTGGGGGGAGGGGAGTCTGAGTTAGTGGTTAATGATGGAGACATCAGTGTATAACCTATATAAAATTGCTTGCCTTCTCAATGAGGGGGGTGAGGAATGAAAGAGACAATTTTATTTTTTAAAAAATGTTGAAAATTATTATTATTATAATTATTATTAAGGCAATTGGGGTTAAGTGATTTGCCTAGGGTCACACAGCTAGTAAGTGCCAAGTGTTTGGTCTGAGGCCAGATTTGAACTCAGGTCCTCCTGATTTCAAGGCTGGTGCTCTATCCACTGCACACCTAGCTGCCCCCTGAAAATTATTTTTGTGTGTAATTAGGGAAAATAAAATAATAAATTTATAAAGGGGAAAATGATAGAGATGTCAAAAAGAAAAAAAATAATAAAATAGTAACCAAAATCATTTTAAAAAGAGAAGAAAGCATTTTTAAAGTTCAAAATTGGACAGATTAGGACAATGTAGTGATTACCTTGTTAAATACAATATTTACTTAAAACAGAGTCCCATAATTTCATATTTAATCCTTTCTTATCCTTTTTATACGTTAAAACATTTGTGAGTTTTTTTGATTTTGAAGTTCATAATTAAAAAGAAAAAAAAATTGGCATCTGATCATAAGGAGGAAAAGCGTATAGATTTAGCATCAAATGGCTAGTAATGAATCCTTAGGTAGTAAAGAGAGGTGATTGACAGCCTGTGGAACTGATCAAGGGACATATTTGCCTTGTATGTCATAGTAAGCTTACCTGTATTATAGGTAATGGGAAATTTTACTTTGATGATTCTTTAAATCTTATAGGCTGTGGAGGAAAAAAGGGTAACTTTCAAAGAAAGTTTTAAAAAATGGACATTTTTATTTTCTTTTGTCACTGAAAACATCAAAGTACCTTCCTCCCCCCCTCACCTCCCAAAAAGGAAAGAAATATATTTAAGAAACAATAAACATGACTAAAATTTGTTAGGTTCCCAAATTATTCTCTTTGAGTATAAATCATATACAGTAACTGAACTATTGCTTGTCCTTGAGAGGTTACAACTGCTTAATTGAATGACAGGCACTGTTGTATCCTGAAAAGTACACTTAACTAAAAGCTAGGAAACAAGTACTTTTTTTTTTTTTTAAGTTCTATTTCTGACACATAGCTTTGGCTGTGGGCAAATCTCTCAACTTCCTTGGGTCTGAGATATAATATGTTACATGTGGGAATTGGCTCACACATTTACTTTATAAAAATTTAATTTTTGCTACTGGACCTCCTTAAAGGCAACAAAAAATAGTGGATAAAATTCTGAACTTGGAATCAGGAAAACAGGTGTTCAAATCTTGACACATGCACTAGCTGTATGACCATGAAAAACCATTGAATATCACTGAACTTGAGGCTGCTTTCTTCCATATTATATATGAATTACATGTAAGTTAGAGGGAATTTCTATACTAACAAAACCAGTATTTTTGATATATTGATAAAGCCTATTAGTTTGTAAGTCTCATGCATATAATGTATATTTATAGAAATATTTTGATTCCTAACATTTCTCTAATTCCATGGAAGAGCAAATTCACAAGAAAAAATATATAGAACAGAAAGTTATCAAAATCAAAAACCTAGCTAACTGAAGCAGAATATACACATATGTTCTTAAATATAAGTATCAATAATAGAAATGTTTCTGAAATGTGTGAAAAATTGAAGTTTTATAAAGATGGGTCAGAGTGATGGTATCATGGGCTTTCCTTCTTTTAGCTTCTGTTTTCTCTGTCAAAGAAAATGGTAGTAAAACTGGAAAGAATAGGACAAACTTTCACATAAAAAAAATGGAGCCAGAAATAGGTAATAAAATGGCTTGGAAACACTTAGCTATTTTAAATTAGTTCAAAACACTAGGGCCTGAAAAATTAAATCCTGAAGTACTAAGGAAGTTTTGTACATAAGACTGAGGAGTCACTGTCATTATTCTGTGAGAAAGTGGAATCAATAGGCATGCCAGGATACCAAAATGGGGGCAAATAACTTATTTTTTAAAATTAAAAACAATGATAGTTCTAGAATTTGTAAACTAG